TTAGGGAATAATGACAAGGAAAAAAAGCCTGTACATGTTCACTACAGATGCAGTTTGTTTGTTTTTTTCTGAATGTATTTTGATCCTTGGTTGGTTGAGTCCACTGATGTGGAACCCATGGATATGGAGGGCCAACTGTAATGGTATAAGCCTTTGGGCAGGGCTGGCCAGTTAGCTCAGTTGGTTAGAGCATGATGCTAATAACACCAAGGTCAAGGGTTCAATCCTTGTAACAGCCAGAGCCAAAAAACAAAAAAAAAACAGACTTTGGGCAAAAGAGATGACTGGGTGACTATTTAGTGGTGTCAAGCTATGACTAGGACTCTCCAGGGGTAGTTGGGTTCTATAGGGGTATGCACCTTTGACTTTTATTGACTAGGCAATTTTACAACTGTATTTGGGTGAAGTTAACGTGGACAAAACTGATAATACAGTAATGCAAATGACTCTTGTTCATAGAGATTTTAAAAAAATTTAGAGGTATAAATGATTACCACCTTGATTTCTTTTTTCTTTCTTTTTTTTTTTTAAAGATGACCAGTAAGGGGATCTTAACCCTTGACTTGGTGTTGTCAGCACCACGCTCAGCCAGCAAGCAAACCGGCCATCCCTATGTGGGATCCGAACCCGGGGCCTTGGTGCTATCAGCACCGCACTCTCCCGAGTGAGCCACGGGCCGGCCCCCTACCACCTTGATTTCTATACCTTATTTACCTATCTATCTATCTATCTATCTATCTATCTATCAATCTATCTATCTATTTAAAAGATGATTGGTAAGAGGATCTTAACCCTTGACTTGGTGTTCTCAGCACCACATTCTCCCAAGTGAGTTAACCAGCCATCCTATATAGGGATCCGAACCTATGGCCTAGGTGTTATCAGCACCACACTCTCCCCAGTGAGCCATGGGCCAGCCCTTGATTTCTATTCATTATAAAGAAAAGATAACCACAAACATTACATTTTTTTTGCCCTATAGCAGAGTTTCTCAACCTTTTAAAGTTAATAGTGGGTACTCTTAACATTTGGGCTGGAAAATTCTTTGTTGTGGGGAGCTCTGTGCATTGTAGGATGTTTAGTTGCATCCCTAAACCCTCCCCACTAGATGCCAGTAGCAACTTAGTTAAAACTGCATTTGTATCTATGTTCGTGCTTTTTATATCACATCTAATTGGCTATGGTTATTTTACTAGTATCTATCCATCAAGACTAGGGAGACTTTAATGGTTTCTGCTACTTTTTCTTACTTCTTTCATTTTAACACTCTAGTACATAGAGTGTTTTCTTCTATGCAGAGATTTAGGTATGTCTTCCCTTAGACTTTAGAGAGTGTCAGTAGAGGATGGTGTGACTCTGGTATGTGTAGTTCTACTCTTAAGGAATCACGAGTGTTTCTCCAGCTGCCTATTTTGGCCTCATTTTGTGTGTAACTCCTGGGCCATGGATAGAAATGGGACATATCTACCAACTCAAGGAAGTTTCTGATGATTTAGAAAATCTTAATGCTTAGAAAGTTGTTTGGGGGCCGGCCCATGGCTCATTTGGGAGAGCGTGGTGCTGATAACACCAAGTCAAGGGTTAAGATCCCCTTACCGGTCATCTTTTAGGAAAAAAAAAGAAAGTTGTTTGGTTACAGCATTTAAACTTCCTGGAAATTATGAGCTATAAAAGTTAAAGGCTTTTCCACCACTTAATTCATCACAGTTTTATGAACCTAAAAGGCAGATGAGGGAGTGTTAGCTTTTTCTCTCCACGTTTTTCTTTTATAGTTTAACTTCAGGCATAGCTGATGGTCGGCTTTCATTATTCTCTTTTCATCTTAGGGTTCTTCAATTAATGGCCAAGCTAGAAAACCAACGCAGGAAAAATATTTTAAGGGATTTATGCAGGCCTGATTGCAACTGTCTTGTTTTTTTAGGGTTTTTTTGTTTTGTTTTGTTTTCCCCCTCACCACAGCAGAAAACTTTCTGCCTGTTGCTTTAGTGTTCTGGATTGTCTAGTATTTGCGGATTGTGGTTTATGTGCATTTTTAAATGTCTCTTATTGCTGTTCTGGTCATGTTCTATAAAAGAGCCTGCATGTTAGCTTTTAAACAAATATTTCCAATTGGAAGAATACCCTTGCCAATGCAACTTTAAAAACAATCCTTTTTCTTAGGAAGCATTTAAGAGAGTCATTTAACTGGTCTCAAGCTATAATCATTTTTTAGAAAAAAAGAAATTGCAAACATGCTCATTCAAATGGATGGACAGAAAATATGGAACATTTTTTTCTTTGTTCTTAACCTACTAGGCTGAAACAACATTTTCCACCAATACCCACTGTGGTCCTGGGTTCCTATAGCTTGCTACCAGCTGGGTATTAGTATTATTTTTATTTTTCCCCTGACTCCGTTCTTCAGGTCTCAAATGCTTACTTATTTTAGAATCCTTATAAGATTTGGTAAATAGATTTATTTTATCAGTATGAAATCTGATGCCTTAAAATATTTGTAATTGGGGCTAGCCTGTGGCTCACTCAGGAGAGTCTGTTGCTGATAACACCAAGGCCATGGGTTTAGATCCCATATAGGGATGGCCGGTTAGCTCACTGGCTGAGCGTGGTGCTGACAACACCAAGTCAAAGGTTATGATCCCCTTACCGGTCATCTTTTAAAAAAAAAATTGTAATTGTCCATCTTTTCAGTTCCATTTCCCAACCCCCAAAAGCTCAGAGTCATTGATATCCTGGCATTTTCTCTGTGCTTCATGTTAATAGGTGTAGAATTCAGCCACTTCTTACCAGTTTACCATGACACTGTAATCCAAGTCACCATAGTCCAAGCCACCGTCATCTCTGGCCTAGACTTTTGCAATTGCAGTTGTCTTGCTTTTCACCTTTCTCCCTACAGTGTGTTCTCAATTCATCACCAGAATACTCCTTTAAAAATGTAAGTCTGGGGCCGGCCCGGTGGCGCACTGGATAGTGCGCCGCTTGGGAAGCGCGGTAGCGCTCCCGCCCGAGGGTTCGGATCCCACATACGGACCGGTTCCCGCTCACTGGCTGAGCGAGGCACGGGAGCAACACCAAGGGTTGCAATCCCGTTGCCGGTCCCCGGTCCAGTACGGGGGCAACACTGAGGGTTGCGATCCGTTGCCGGACACGGAAAAAGACAAAAGACAAAAAAAAAAAAAATGTAAGTCTGATCTTTTACTGGCTTCTCCTCAAATTCAGAATGAAAACGGTCCACCTGATCTGGTAACTGCTTCCAGTTTCTAATGGGAGCTCATTTACCCACTTGGGGCCTTTGCACTTGCTCTTCTTTTGGTTTATGGGCCCTGGGAAAGTCACACGCCTGCTTTGAGTCTGTTTCTATATCTGTGAATGGGCAAAAGAAAGCCTCTCCTACCTTGCCTACCTCACAAGGTTATTGAGAGTCTCAGATATGTTGGTTCTTGTTGTATTTCTATTTGAGCCAGTTTTCTGTTGTGCTGGTAATGTTACCTCATGGGTTTTGCTTGGGTTGAGATAGGGGGTTAAGGAGAACTATTAGAAACCTTTGCCTAGCCCTTTTCTGGCAGAGCACTGACAGATGCTTTCTGCTTGTGCTATTGTTTGAGTCTTCTGTTCTAAAGCACTTACAGTCCTTTGTGTCAATATAATGGTTGGAGGGAGGGGGTGCTGGAAGGAGAGAGGTGAGTCTGGGAACTTGACTGTCCCGGTGGAGACTTCTGCACTGTCCAAGCATCACATCTGATTGTCATTCAGGGGAGCAGCTAAGTCTGGAACTACTGGGCAGTTCCAGGATTTCCCTGTTCTCTTGTCTCAGAGCAGAACTGTGGCTCGTGTCCAGGTCAAATCCTAATTAAAAAAAAAAAAATCCAGTAGTCTAAATTTACCCTTCTTTTGAACTACATTATTGTATAGAATGTTGATTTGAAAAAACAAGGTCACTAACTAGAAATAAAATTTGGAAGTCTTGATTATGACTTCTTATACTATTCAACATTCTTGATGTTTACTAGGCCAGTCCAGATAATCTCTTTCTTGTGACTCCTGTGCCTGTTTATGTCAGTTTTTGTTAAGTGTGAAGTAGAGCTGGGAGTAAGCAAATTAGAATGAGGGAAGAGATGCATGTGAATGTCCATGTATATTTGTATATCAAGTGTGGTTGGGTAGGTAAGATGAAGAAAGGTAAATGGCAAAACTGGTTTTCCAAGAGAGAGACAACTTGAACTTTCCTGTTCAAGTCAAAGCCTGTACCGTATATCATAACTGGGCAAGATTGAGCTATTTTGAGTATTTTGTGTATGTAGTTTAATTTACTTGATGTCCTACTGAATTGTTAGGTTATATGAGGGTAATTTGAAAAGTTCATGGGAAAATAGAATTGAAAGATAATATGAGTCTTTCCATTAACTTTTTGAAGTACCTTCATTTGTTGGTAAATTGATTATCTTAGTTTCACAAGAGGTTATATTTTTAATCTTCTGTTAAATTCTTTGTAAGGAAAATTCACTTATGAGTTAGAATAGAATTTGTAAGTTCATATTGAATTTGGAGTGAGTTTCATTGATTTGTCATTTAGCCTAATGTGTATTCCCTGTAGTTGTATTACCAGGGTAGGTTGAGCTAAAATTGTGAGCTTGAGTTCTTTCCTGAAAACTTTTTTTCATGACAGTACCTAGAGATGCTGAAAAAGATGAGAATCGTCACCTCCCAGAAGTGTTGGTCCAAGTTTTATTTTATTTACTATATGATTTTAAGTGCCATCAACTAATACATTTTATACTAACTATCCCCACACCCCATGGCCCAGTTCGTGTCAGTAGGAGTTAGAAAAGATTCATATCTACGTGAGGCTTGGAAAATTGATGGGAAGTTCATGGTACATACTATACCACATAATGTCCATTCAGCAAAGGTGTTTTTAACTTAAAAGAGAAATTCATGTAATAATCCAAATTACTTATTTGTGCTTAGAACATTGTTAACTCCAACCTTTCCTTTATCTCTAGGCAAATAAGGGAGAGACTGAAGAACCAGGTCACAGAAATGAAGGAGCAAGTACCTGGTTTCATACCAGGCCTGGCAATTTTACAGGTATTATGACAGTATATTTCCTTTGATGTCCTCCTTAGTCCATCTCTCAACAGTACTTCAGACAACATGCACTTCAGGCCTCACCTTTGTTCTTTTTTTTCTTTTTTTCTTTCATGAAACCTCATACCTTTTCAGTTTCCCTTTGCAGGCTCCCCCTCTTCAGCTAAACTTCTAACTCTGCTTTTCTTGGTGGATACCCTTTCCCTAAGGCCAGTGTCTCTTAAATCTTGGTCTTAGTAGGACCCCTTTACACTCTTAAAAACCTAAGACCTTGAGGAGCTTTTTTTTTTTTTTCCAAATACAAATTTACTCATTAATGTTTACCATATTGGAAAGTAAAACTAAGAAGTTTTTAAAATATTTATTTATTTAAAAATGCCAATAGGGGCCGGCCCGGTGGCGCACTTACGCTTGGGAGCACGGCGGCGCTCCCGCCGAGGGTTCGGATCCCATATAGAGACTGGTCCGCTCACTGGTTGAGCGCGGTGCGGGCGCGACACCAAGGGTTGCGATCCCGTTGCTGGTCACGGTACGGGCGCGACACCAAGGGTTGTGATCCCGTTACCGGTCACGAAAAAAGACAAAAAGGGAAAAAAAATGCCAATAGTAAGCTCATTATATACGAACATAAATAACATTTTTATAGAAAAATAACTTTTTGAAAGCAAAATTTGGTGAGAAGAGAGGCATTATTTTACATTTTTGCATGACTCTTTACTGTGTCTTAATAGAACAGAACTGGATTCCTATCTGCTGCTGCATTCAGTCTCTTGCTATATGCTGTCTTGATTGAAATATATGAAGAAAATCTGGCCTTGTACAGATGTGTAGTGGTAAAAGGGAAGAATTTTTAATAGTCTCCCTAGGTAATTGTGGATATTTTTCTTTGATACAGCACCTGTAGTATCAAAGTAAAGGAGAGTAAGTAAAAAGTTTTTAAAGGTTCGTTGCAATATGGAATCTGAAACTCTTATCAGTGAACTTTAACACTTTGTCACATCTTTTTGTACTTGCATATTTTGTTACATCAAAATGTTACAGTCGGAATAGATATTTACCCATGCATGGTTTTGTAACATCCTTTGTTCCTCATTTGGAAAAATAATAGTTCACTGAATTATGCAGATCTTCCAAATGTTAACACATTTCATTATGCAATATAAAAAAGTCACAATCATTAATATCACCAACAAGCTCTCAGAAAAGTCTTTAAGTATTGAGAAACTGTCAAGCTCACAAGGGTGGATAAAATGTTCTAGATTTTGCTTGAAAACTCAAATTTTATCATTGGCAACAAATACAGTTAGTTGTTTTCTTTGAAGTACCAGATTCACTTTATTAATTTTTGAGAAAATATTTCCCAAATACTCAGCCTGAATAATGATTGTTTGTCCGTTGTTCTTTCAAGTAAAGGTGGTGTTCTGTATAAAAATGCATCTAGTTCAGCTTGCAAGGCAAAAAAGCACAAGTGTTTTTCCTAGTGACAAACACTGTACTTCTGTATGCAGCACAAGTGCTTTATGAGTGCTTCCCAATTCTTTATGTAGAATATTTAAAAATACATGTACTCAGGGGTGAAGGTTCAATAAAATAATAAGTTGTACTGCTTCACCAAGGGCATTACTAAGTGCAACTGACATCTATTCTTACTGAGAGTGTTTGGCTCTTGGGCTAGGTTAATGTTGGAATCCTGCCAATGACACCAATTGTTGCGTTCTTTTACCTGCCCATAATCCTGCCAACTGGGCCATTTGTAGAGTTAAGGCTGGGTCTGGAGCTCACAGACCCCTTAAGCCCATTCACAGACTGGGTCACAAACACTTCACATGCCAGGCTGGGTCACCAGACCCCTCACATGCAGGTCTACGAGCTAGGTAACTGACAAACAGGTCCTCAGAGCCATAGATAGCTGATGGCCATGTGTGTGGCAGATGCCTGAGGCAATCAACACCAAGCACACTAACTCCACCCACACACAACTTATTTACAAAAAATGCGCCACACCACCCCCAATCCTATGGGTAGGTGAGGGGGCCTGATTAAATTATTCTCTTTTCCCAACAGTGGCAGTGAAGGATACCTTGACATCTAGTATAGTTTGGTGCCACTGTCTTGGTTTGTGCTAAGTTGCCAGCAGCCTTACCCACCTTTACCTTTCTGCCATCTGTACAGATGTCAACATGATGAAAAAGGCAAACACCACCATCATAGTAGTAGTATGAAAATAGTTTGGCCCCCACAGATCTTTTGAAAGGGTCTTGGAGTCCCCCAAGAGTGTGTGGGCCACCCTTTGAGAACCATTGCCCTAGGCAATTTCATCTGGTAAGCCAGTAACTTATCTTTTTGTTTGTTTTTTGGCAGCTGGCCAGTGTGGGGATCCGAATCCTTAACCTTGGTGTTATCAGCACCATGCTCTACTGAATGAACTAACCGTCCAGCCCCTCAATAAATATTTGTAGGGACAAATATACGAATGAATGTTCAAAGGGTTGATTTAGATGACAGGAAACTCATACATAGCTCTCATTTCAAACTCCCTCAGAAATGCTGGTTTCCCTGCCTCACAGTCTCTCTAACATGTGTGTCTCCGCATACATCATTTAATCCCTTGCTAACTGTCTGTCCCTTGTTCATCAAGAATTTCAGAGTGAATCGTGCTTAAATATCGCCTCCCCACACCACAAGGGTGGCATTAGCGGAGAAGAAAAGCACAGAAGGCCTGTTGATCTATGCTTGGTGTTCTCTGCTGTGATAGGTTTTCCTTTTTTTGCAAATCACTAAGAGTTAAGAGTAAATGTCATAGGCAAGAAATCTGTTTCTGTAAACCTTTTCTTAGCAATATTAGGACATGTTCTTTTTTTCCCTGTATTTAAAATAGATGTCCAATACATCCAAGGACATTCATGATCTGGCCTAAGTGTATACTTAAAAGTTGGAGTTTTGGGGGGCTGGCTGGTTAGCTCAGTTGGTTAGAGCATGTGCTGATAACACAAGGATCCAGCATTCAATCCTTGTACCAAAATAATTGGAATTTTTAAAAAATGAATGAGTAACTTCCCAAATA